CCCACCCCACACTCGCATCTGTCTCTTTATATCCATACCTAGCACGTTATCTCTTATGAAGACACAAAGCTCATATTTGCCTCGTTCTAATTACCAGAATCTCGTTTACTTGATTGGTTGTCCACGAATTACTTGGGTTGAAAATTTCGGATCTACGGTCTGCTACCACATCTTCACGAAGAAGTTGACAAGGATTCGTTGCTAGTTCATCGCGCTCCTACTCGTTGCTTGATCGGTTGTCCAGGATTTACTTGGGTTGAAAAATTCGGATCTGCATCTGCTACTACATCGGCTGTGCGACTCATCTTCACGAACAAATCATCAAGGATTTTTGTTACTTCATCACGCTCCTACTCTTTTTTACCGGGTTTTTCTACATACTGAGGCTAACGAGCACCCCCCTCCCTCGCATCTCTATCTCCCGCCCTCCTCTCTTCACTCATTTTTTTTGTTGTACCCCCTTCGTCTTATCTCCCCGCCTCTTTTCTCCCCCTCCCACTCACCTACTTCCTTCTCCCTCCCTCACCTCCTTTTTTCTCCCTTTCCCTCTCCCTCTCCTTCGGCCTCACCGCTTCTCCTTTTTAGCTTCGGCACAGATCTTGGTTATTAGGATAGTTTAAGCTGGAATTCATAAAGACAGGCGCTTCAGATTCGTTGCGACACTATAGTTAGGAATTTCACATCTGCTTCGGGTAACTTCGACAAGTTCCTCACGCTAGCCACTCTTGCTCACTACTGTGATGAACTCCGGACTCTTTCTATTTATACTAGGTTCGAATCGGCGAATGCACACTCGGTACCTCGCGATGCCCCTGATGATGACTGGTCATCGGCACCAGTGAAAACATGTAGGGCGTGGCCGATTCATGCTTCTCCTAGGAAGAATAGGATGTATTATCGCGCTACTGCGCCTGATATACTCCATTCCCCATGGAGTGGTGTAATGTGCTTCACGTAATATTCGATAATTTATCGTTTGGGCTCTATGTATTTCGTTCGTCGGATTCGATACTTATACCTTTTCACCTCCTCTCACCCATCTCTCTTCTCCTCACCTTCATCGACCCTTGTTCAGTCTCTTTGTCACCACCTCTGCATCAACGTGCTATCCCTCTCTCCCTTCTCCTCTCCCCTCTCACCCCACCATCTATTGATTAATTGTTGATACGAAGTCTCATTCCTGTAATCATGAATTGGTTGTACTGGGCTTTGTGGACCTTGGATTTCATTGTGTTTTGGGTTAGAGTGTTCCGCATTTTTCTGGAAATCTCGGTTGGAACCTTTCGTTATGCAGTCGCTCGTTGTAAACGCGAGGATCCCAATCACAGAAGACAACATAACCATCATGGTTAGTCTCACTAACCTATTTATCCTGTACTATTTAGCTTCTTGCAATAGCTAAACCTTCGACTCAAGCAATAACCTTAGTAGAAATTGCACTACTAACGTGTGGCTGCTTAGTACGATTACTCACGCGTATGTCTGTTCTAATTCATAGCTTCCCTTTTGTCATTCCCTGTTGTCGCTTCCTCCTTTCTCTTCCTCGCCCCACATCCTTGTTGCTTCTTGTTTAATCATTTTCGATTACTCTCGTGTGAGTCTGCTTCTGTTTTTTTTTTGCTCCGTAACACTATTGTTCCCGCTCCTTCGCTTCCTAAAATTTCAGCGCTTACTCTTCTAGGGCTTCTACTCCAGTCGCACCACTATTCATCTTTCCTTGCCACATCCCTTCATTTCAACGGATTTACTAAACTGTTTCCTACTGTAAGACGTCTCTCTACCCCCTCCCAGTTCTTGCTATCGGCATCCAACACTAACTATAATGGCTACCCCTTTGCTCTGTTATAATTGTGACCAACCTGGCCATTTCTCCAGAGAGTGTCCCTACCCCCGTCGGAACTGCTATGCACCACCTACCCACTCCGCACACCCATCTACACACACCATTGCTCCTTCTCAGATTCCTCTCCTCGCTCTACCCCCACACATTGCTACATCTCAATCCCCCAATTCCTCGGGAGGTCAAGCTTTGGTACCAAGGCACTCTTGGTGGAAGATCAACCAAGACAAGCTTGACAAGGTTTACGAGTTTATGGCTTCAGAGCTTGAAGCAAGACAGGAGGTCATTCAGGAGAAGGAGAAACAAGTGAAGGAAGAAGAAGAACGACAAAAGGCTAGAGAAGCCGAGGAGAAGGCGTCAAGGAAACTCAAAGAGAGACAGGACTTCGAAGATCGGATCAGCACGATGGTCGGGATGAAGATCAATAACGCGTGCGACCTGTTCCTTGGCAGATCGGAAGGCGCGAGGACTGGAGGGATAGGCGAGGGTGCGCGGACTTTCTCCAATAGAGCAATCCGCCCCAGCTTGGATGTGGACAAGGACAGGCTGGAGAAACAAATCGAGCTATTAAGGCGGGAGTACGAACTCATCAAGAAGCAGATGGAGGAACTTTTTCGTTCCTCCAGGAATGTCGGTATGAAGAGATCTGGAACAGGAGTGTGCATCACCAGTCCACCTGAAGCGCCACCTAGAGGTAGGCCACGAGCTGTGGGAATTTCTACTCCTACGCAGAATGACTTCGACAAACTTCTCAAAGCCTACAACACGATGAAGGAGGGCAAGCGCATTGCTGATCTGGAGGTGCAGGCCATCAAAGAAAGGTTCGAGAAGGCTGTTGCAAGGCTGGTTAGGCAGGGGCGTACTCCAAGATCCAATCTCTCAAAGCGCCTGAACGAGGCTACGGACGACAATGACTTGGAGAATATGGGCCAGCCAGAGGAGGGTTTAGACGACTTAACCATTCGACCATCTCCACCTAAGAGGACGTCTGGAAGATTGGCAGTTAAGGCGGCACTGGCGGAACGAGCGGAGTTCGTCAAGGAAACGAGGAAGTACCTGAAGAGATTGAAGAAGAACGGGCTGCAGATCTTATGCAACAAGGAGGGCATAACGTTTGTGACATGTGAACAAGCTATCAACGAAATCTCAAAACTGCGGGCGTCGGTGGCTTTCGATTTCCGACAACCACCTAAGACTGGCGCCGCAGCTCGCGCTCACCATGAATCAGATGTGGAAGAAGCACGTGAAGCAGACAACGAGGCGCAGGACGTCGACGCCACGCAGCATGTTGATGTAGCCGATGATGAGGAGCAACTAAGGGACGAATAGGGGCTCGGCCCAAGCGATGAAGACCTGTGGAAGCTGGCAAGGGAATGTTCACTCCTTCGCAGCTAGAAAAACGACCTTAACCATATCGATCTAAATTTCTTGTATCGACTAATCTGTGTTGCATTGATTATTAAGCGACAGGTTCCTTGGTGTCTCAAGTTTAGAACACAGATTTGTCATCTGCTGGAGTCTGGCTATGATTTCCTTACTGCTCCTGGTCCTCTCGTCTATTGTATTGTCTCCCCCTTTGTTAAGCACTATTACGTACGGTGCACGACTAGAAATCTCAATGTTAGGTGGACAGAGCATGTTAATCGTCTGTTTAGCCTAGACGTACATCGTAGTGAAGTTCCTAATCACAGGCTGTACTCCTGGTTCCGCTGAATTGCACGCCAGCATTATGTAGCCCTCCCTCTTTGTGTGTTCTCGAAACCAGACTTACTGATTGCAGAAAAACAAATCATAGGTTCTACTTCACCTTACCTTAATACTAGGCCTATAGGGAAGAAGAAACGTAAAAACAGGAAATCGAGGCCAGGAAAAAGGGAAAGAAGAAAACGGGCTACTAGAAGTAATGTTGTAACTCCTTGCGTTCAGGTTTCCGGGCTGGAAACTAAAAATGACAGAATTGCCTGCTTCAATACGTCGGTAGGTCTATCTTTCATTTCCCTCATCCAGATTTTGCATGAATATACCCGAAGAAAGATCTCATCCTTGTCAGTTGTAAACAAAGGTGGTGCAGTTTTGTCTGATTCTTGGATTCAAAGTAATTAAACGTGTATTTGGGACTTCTGTTATCAGTTGCAGTTATGGAAGGGACCAGTTGAAGCGTTGTAGAGCATGGGTAGAATCCCCTCACATATTTCATATTCTCTGTATCACGAAATTTTGCTCTAGATCGGAAGCACTCAAATTCTCTCTCGTCAGGTTACTTAGGCATCCGTTTGAACGTAAGTTATTAGTGACCTGGACGTTGGACAACTTAATTTTCTCCTACACTGCTGTTAGATGCTTCTCTAGGAAGGGCACGAGACAGTCTTTGCGTATGATTATTTCAAGTGTGGTACGTAGGAAATTTGGGTTTTGTCCTCGCAGGCGTCTGGTGTTTCGGATTAAGTACGCGGAGAATTTATCCAAGCCTGCTATTCGGACTCTATGCTCTGTACTGATCAAGGGACTACCTATCCCTGCACCATTGGCCGAGATGCTTTCCAGAAGAATGCAGGTTGTCTGGACAAGGAACGACAGTATTGCTCATTCCCTTCACAATTTCTGGGGCCTTTTCTCGCAGGAAAGAGGTGGCTTGTGTTTGTGACCTCGTTCGTGGTAGGTTCAGTAACATGAGACTTGAAGATTTCAATCGCCCGAATGATATGAGAGTCATGTCCAATGAGATAAATGGACACATAGCTTTTCGGGCGAAAGACGCACCGTTTTCGCCACACTGGATGAAAAACTCACGCAATATTCCAGCTCCTTCTAAATGCTATGGTTGCCAATTTCTCAGAACTCAAATCCTCCGTGGTTTTTCGGATGTTCACCTCATACCCTCTTCCTATCTTATTGCTATCCCTCACTCTACTCTTCTATCTTGTTTCATCTCCCCTCCACTGGCTGCATCGGCTACGACCTCCATAACTTCCAACCTTTTTCCCAAAACTTTCGTTGCCATGTTCATCCACTCCCTGTCTAAGCTACCCTTCACATTCGAAAACGTACTCCTTTGGAAAATGAATCTAGACGGTTTGGTGTTAACTACAGTGGATCATAACCTAGGGAATACACTATTTTGTTGCCCCCGGTTCTATAAAGATGGGATGCATACCCTGTTTTTGCGCAATCCTGGATTTTCGGTCATAAACCAGGAAGAGTCCATGATATTGAAGAACTGTCAAAGTACGTTCCTAGATCTAGCCTTAGACAAAATCAGTCGTTGGAATCCCAATGAAAGAATAGGAAAAGGGTACGCCATACCCAAACATAAGGACGCCACCAAATGGCAACCCATCTGCCCCACCATGACTGAGCCTGCAGTAGTAGCATGCAAGAAAGTTACTTCTTATATCAATGTGCTCATCAAGGCCCTTCCGCAAACGCTCCACTTCAATCTCTTTCGCACTATGGACCTGGTTCCGGCACTCACCAGGATAAATGACTCTCTTACTTTTGATCATCGGCTACTCTGCTCCAGTTTTGACGTAAAAGAAATGTTTACCAATCTCCCTCATTCATCTATTCTAGAAGCGTTTAGGTGGTTTGTATGTTATTATCAGTTGCAAGGGTATGACTGTGTGTGGATCAAGAGAAGAGGGAAATGGGCGAAGTTATCCAATGCCTGCTCTATGGTGGGATGGAGACGAGTTAGTTTAGCAGACATTAAGGAGTTTCTCAGGTTTGATCTACAACACACATATGTCAGTGCTATGGGAGTTTTGTTTCGACAGACTATCGGAGTACCTATGGGCAAATCGTCCAATCCCGCGCTAGCCGCAGTCTTATGCATGTACAATGAGATGAATTTCCTGCAATCGCTCGGGAAAGATAGAGCTCTTTTCCAAGGAGTAAGGCTGGTTGACGATGTATCCGTCTTTGTGCTATACTC